TGTTCTTTTCTCTCCGTTCTTCCTCCTTCATTTCAGGCTACATTGGCAGGTGCATCTTCATTCTAAAAAATGTATCTCAACGAATAAGTCCACTTTTTTGTCTGTTTCTTTTTTCTTTTTCAATTCACAAAGGTTCTAATATGTTTTGGACAAATAAACCTCACCAAATAATCCTCAACACCAGTTATCTATGAACTAGGAAGTGGTCTAAGTCTGATAAGTGCCACCAACCGGGTTGATCATAAGCAAATTATAGTAAATGTGGTTGTTGGATAGTCCATGACATACTTGTCCTAATTAGATAGTAACGCTTAACAAACCTCAAATCGTTTTCTTATGTCCAAGTAATTTCCGATTGACTCTCTCTGGAGTAGACTTCCTAATCCCAAATAAAATAATCATATAAACAAAAAATACAACTAATAAACACTGAATGACAAAGGAAACAGGTAACATGATATCTTTTTTTCCTTTCCCCTACTCAAAAATCAACGAAATAGGTAGGTTTTTCTTTTCTTTTAAGAGAGCAATTTTAGTTTCCTCCACAGGTTAGTTTCACTCTTTAGCTTCAGTCAATGTGATACCATGACTCCTTTAAAAAATTTCCATGACTTCCATTATTAATAAAAGTGTAGTAGTCATCAAGTGAAGTCATTTTTATCTCCCAATTTCCTCTGTATATCATCTTCTTCATGCTTTCAGTCCACCTACTTTTCTACTCACCATAGACTTCGTTAATAAACCATTACCCTTCTTCCTTTAGCCACATCCATTTTCTCATTTCCTCCACATGAATTCGCAAAGCTTTTACTTGTTCTCTTTGCTCTCTCTGTTTTCCTCCCTTATACTAATTCATGTACCTCGAGGTTCAAGTAATCCCGATGAATTTTACCAGACTTGTGGGAATACATATAGCTGTGGTAAGATTACGGGATTAAGTTATCCTTTCCGCGGTGTCAATGATCCTCCCTACTGTGGCTACCCTGGTTTTGAGCTCAACTGCAATCAGGATAGTAGTACTACTATGATCATCAACAAAATCAAGTATCGAATTTTGGACGTACATCAAACATCCCAAACAATAAGAATTGTGAGGGAGGATATCATGGAATCAACGTGTCCTGTTGATTTGGTTAACACCACTCTGGATTACTCCCTCTTCGACTATGCCACTAGCTACACAAACTTGACCTTCCTATACAATTGCCCTGTTTCGCCCAACTTTGCGGAAATGGATCATATGGCTTGTAGAAATAGCAAATATGACAATGTTTTTATATTGCCCGGAGCTCAAGGCCCGGGGAAGTGTAATGCTAGTGTCACAGTTCCAATCCTCCAGATGAGTGGTGCTACTGTAGGGTCCATGAATTCAACAAGTTTGGGAGAAGTACTACAAGAAGGGTTTGATATAAGATGGAAAATGGATAGTAAAGCCTGCAGTGAGTGTACTGACACAAAGGGGAGATGTGGGTATGATGCTTTTATGAAGCAAACGATTTGCTTTTGTCCTGATCCTCCTTATGAATCTGCTTCTTGTTCAGTTGCTGCTTTTGGAGTCTCACCACCATTACCAATATCTAGACCATCCCCTGCAGGTACATATTCTTGTTTTCCTAAGAACTATTTCCGCCTCGATTTGCCTTCTTAATCTTGACTTAGTCGATGGATTTGGTTCATTTAGTCAATGGGGTTTTATTTTTCTTCTGTCTAATTAGCTATTAATTTGAGCTAACTCTAGGAAGACGACGACAAGGAAAACTGTTACTCCGATGTAGATACATATATTTAAATTATATTACAAGTTTAACCACTTGTAGATAACTTATTCCCTTTATAATTATCATCGCCGCTTAATATATAAAGTAATCCTAATTGGGTATAAATAATGACAGTTTGAAAGTACTTAAATTCATGAAAATTAAACATCCCAACTTAGATATTGCACTGTTATAGATTTTAGTTGCCCAAAATCTTTTACTAGTTAATTTGTTCATCCCTGATATCGTGTATCACTTCCACTACTGTGTAAGTCTAGTCTTACCGTTCAATAGCTGTCATTTTAGGTGGTGTTAGGTATGCCTCCACCAACCAACCTTTGATCATAAAGTCTATTGTTGACATCTTCTTATTTCTCTTTTCCACAATGAGCTTTTCTTCAAAGTTTAAAATATCGTGATAGTTGTTGGTTAGCTAATTACACATGAATGATGTAGTTGATATCTCAGTATCAAGACTCAGTAAAACAAAGCAAGAAATCTAACCACTATTAGCATTCGTCTTCATTAACAAATTTTGCAAGACACATGATATTCGTTATTAACATCATGGCTGAATTAGTACATTAGGTTGGGAGAGGGGAGAGGGGTGAAGGACGGCTGAGATAGTCCAATTTTGGGCAATCCTTATCTCAGGAGCTAACTTCTGGGGTTGAGTTAGTGGAAAGTTCTATTTATCGGTGTATAGAGGCATTTGGGGTTGAGGCATTTGTCCAACTTTACTATGATCAATATTCTGCCACCAATTCTCATCTTTTATGCCCTCGATTAAAACATGTAGAACGGATCTCTGGAATCCGTATGCTAACTCCGTCAAATAACCCCTTTTCATATTTCCTCTAAAATTATGCTTGAACTTAATCCTTAGATTAAGCCATTAAGGTCGTCCTCTCTTTATCAGTTCGAAAAATTGTCACAAAAATTGACAAGAGTATACGGATCTCTGGTTTTTGAGACATTATTTTGAGCCATTCACCTAGGTTCTCTCAGAAATCGTAACACGGGTGTTGCTCCAAAACGCACATGCAATTATACGCGGTCGTCAAGTAATAAAGTGATTAAAAGTCGGATGTCGAACCCACGAGGACTTATGATTAACTATTAACTAAATTAGACTATCCTAACTATCTAAACGAGAATTAAAACTAGAAGTATTTGATTTTAAACTAATTAAAATAAAGAAAAATAAATAATGAACTTTGAATAGAGGAAGAGCAGATTTTTATGTTATCAATGTTATGAAAACGAACTAGGGTTATGGGCTATCTAACATTCCTATTGTATTCTTCAATTGAATTGAGTAACTAATTATCTAGTTTATTGGTTAACAGAGATAATATTGCTCATAAGAATCTGGCGAGTTCTTATTCGCCTATTCAAGCTAACCTAAGGCCTATATGTTTATGGAACTAGAATCAACAAGAACGCATTTATAATTCTTGTAAATCAACCAAGCAAGACAATTAAGTATATGTCTATCCTAACCGCGAATCCATTCCCCGATGCTCAAGTTCAAGAACTTGCTCTACTCAATCCTATAAGCAATCTAGAATTCCCACTTTCGAGTTCAATTCTAGATTCGTGTATAATATTCAATTGGTGATCAAACAATTCAATAATGAAGCGCAAGATTGAATAAATAAACTAATACGATAAATCAAGAAATCAAAATCAATATCCGAATAACAATATTCATGAAAGAACCACAACCCTAGAAAGTGAAGCTTAGCTCCACATAGACATGATAGCCAAACAACAAATCATACAAAGAAACATAAAAATTACTAAGTTTTGTTGAAGAAAAGATAAAACCTGGCCTCCACAGCAGATTTGTGCTCTCCTTTGGTCAAAAGTTCTTCACAAAAACGTTCCCCCTTTAAAATTTCTTTTAACAAGTTAGGATTGTATAGAATCGAAATAACCTTGTTCCGAACAAAGTAGGAAAAATCCTCCGGCGTAACGCGCTGGCCCTGGCGCAGAATGCAGTAGCGTTTTGCGAATTCCACTCTTTTCTGCGGCGAACTTCCAACTTTGCTAATAAACATTTTATGCTTTCTTCTTTAAATCCTTTTTAATCTCCAATCATCAACCAATCATTATGTTCCCCCCTTGTTTTAATTGCTACAATTCACATTTACTTTACTTCACTTCATGCCACGTAGACAAACATCCTAAGGCCTCCATTTTTCTTCATTTCATGTGCTGCTCCAAAATTGTCTCATCCATGTAGATTTTTTTCTATCCTCCTTCCGATTATAATTTCTTGCTATTTTATTTTTACATAATTTTGCTTCGAATCTTTCTATTTGTGCACCGCTTTATTCCTGCACAGTTAAAATATAATATTAAGTATAAAATGATATAATTAATACTCAGATGATTAATAGTGCTATAATATGAGGCAACAATGATTAAATATATGCATTTTTGGCCGAACATCAACGGGTAAAGATTTATAGCATGTACCCGAATTCGGGCAATTCATGGATGAATAACTTGACAGTATACCACTGACCGTTTTCTGCTGATACACCTACCTCCACAAAAGTGTGGAGGAAATGTTCACGTTGAATTTCTTGTATTTTTTTTTTTATAAAATTTTCCAGATGTCTGGTTGTATTAATTAGAAGAAGTGTACAAGAGAGGGAGTAGACCTTACCTCCAAAAATAGAACAATAGGATAAAAACTTGATCCTACAAAAAAACAGGGACAGTTGAATATGACTGATATGAAGAATATAGCAGACCTGTGAGGAGCAATCGTGGAATGATCTTATAGTCCCTCAGGTTGTTCAAGTCTTGACGCGTTGGAAGTTTCCATAGAACAAACTGTATAGCCAACTTTCTGGTAGTTTGTGTCTTTCGCGTGTAGTATGTCATATTATGACCACTCTAGTCTTAGCTAGATGGTTTCTTTCATAGGACTAATTAATTCATACTGACCAAATCTAAATATTTGACTCTTATCATAATTAAATTTTGTGAGTCACGGTAGTAGTTGGATATAAAATTATTTTTCCATCTGGGAAAAATAATTTTATTAGTACACAATTTTTTTGAAATTAGACCAAGTCTGCTACCCCTAAATTCCAATAGGAGCTTCTGTATCTCGTTTGACAATATACGCGAAATTGGTATCGTTTGTCAAATATTATTGCTATATGTTGACCAAAGAATGACAAAATAAAGCACCCCATCTTTTCCTTTGAATTTTACATCTCATCTTCCTAATTGAATTTGGTGTTCTTCCTAACCTTTGTATCTTCCTCTTCTCTGCCCCTTAGTTCCTCATCTCCTCCCCACCTCCTCTATCTCTTTTCTAGACGAGAAGATCGTAGAACTGGGTAAAGCTTTTCTACACTATTTCTAGTTGGTAACTCTCTTTCTAGATGCTAATTCCTTTAATCAGACAGAAATGCATCAACAACTCCATCCATACTTTTTGCTCTTTAGTACCTTAATCTTTGTCTTGATCAAAATACCGGGGTTGTTCTGTCAAGATGACGAGCGATTCAGGATGTGTAGTGAGCCAATTCTCTGTGGCGACATCGAAATAAAGTACCCTTTCTGGGGAGGTGGTAGACCAGAGTACTGTGGTCATCCAAGTTTCGAGATCAACTGCGAGAGTAACATCCCGAATATTGCTATTAAATCAACAGCATACAAAGTGATAGCGATCGATACTCCTACTCGAATACTAACCTTGGCTAGAGATGATTTACTGAGTAATATTTGTTTGGACAACCCTGAGAACGCCTCCTTGGATTTTAACATTTTCAGCTATATTTCCACTGACCAGAATATTACTCTGCACTATGGCTGCACCCTCGTCTCTGGTCAGCAATTACTAAATGACCCAAAAGTCTTTAATTGCAATAGCAACATATTTGGTATTTACACAATGATCGGGGTTTTGTTCGACTTCTCTCGGGTAAGATGCGAGAGCGAAATAATAGCTAGGATCAATCAAACGAGTGCTGTGGCATTAGCCAGCGCTACAGCAACTGTTGAAGTTCTGAGAACAGCCATTTCTGGCGGGTTTTCAGTTAATTGGACGGCAAATATTGAAACGCTATGCGGACAGTGCGACAAGTCAGGTGGAAGATGTGGATCCAACCCAGATTCCGCAGCCTTTGCTTGCCATTGTGCCACGGGTACTCATGCTTTCAACTGCACCGACGCACAAAATCAAGATGGCGGTAATCTCTTTTCTCTACTATTCCCTCATGATTTTACTAGAATCTAATTATTGAGCGTTAAGGTCATATGGCGTTGATACATTGGTAAGTTCGTCCGTTCATTTCCAAATCAAATCACCATTCCAGTCCTTTCACCAAAAGATTTCAGTTATATACTGAGTGACAGTATAATTTTTTTTTTTTAAGATCAATACTTATCACGAAGATTTACTTATAATTATTTTATCAGTGACTTATATGTCAGTACATAAAATTAAACTCTCTTCCAATTCTCCTCAAACATAACTCCAGCCATAAGTACGCGTTTAATTGAGGTCCGAATTCCAGATGAAACTCTGAATACTAAGCTCTAGCCTCTATCTAACTAGTTCCGGCTCAAATAGTTTCTTCCCCATGTTAAGCATTGCTCATTTCCCCTTTTTTCCTTTAATAGGTTGTAGCATGCTTAAATTTATCTCATGATAAGTCTCCTCCTACTTAAATCCAACTAGTTGCATCAACTTTGTACCCGGCGCCCTACACGGACCAAAATTAGACTAAGGTACAAGGTTAAAATTTAAAGCTTTATCAAATACTTTGTGCGTGTTTACATTATTTTATTTGTCCCATTGTTCGTTGATCGTCACTTTCTCCTCCTTCTTGAAAGAGTAAAATTATTTAGGATTTGTTAAAATAACATGTGCGGAGTTATATATAAACTTTCTTATTCTATTATAGATTAAAGAATGGAAAGCTTGTACAGAGAAGAATCAAAGTGTGACCCATATAGTAGTAATATATTTTCTGTGAGTGTTAGATGTTTGAAAGGTGGTTTTCTTTGTAGAAAAAATGATTTGGCAAGGTTTACAATAGAAAAATAGAGATTTAAGTTAAAATGAATGTAATAATATGTTTATCATTGATACTCTCACTGCATCTTCAATAAAAGAAGTGAAAAAGAGGGGAAAAGGCTACTAACATAACTCTGTCCCATGCCTAACATTTAGTACTAATTTATTTTTGTCGATTTTACAAAATCCCTTTTTCTGTTTTTTCCTCTCTTTTAACACCAAAAGAAAATTCAATATTGGCGTTGTCAAAAACTCAAAAATCTACCTATTCTTAAACCGAATAGAATAGCCAACATGGTAAACATTTTAGAGTATATGTTAGAGATGTCAATTATCCCTCTGTCGCTCATTTCATCTTGCACCCAAATAATATGACGGTTTAGGGGTCGTTTGGTATGAGGTATAAGAAGGTATAAGGGTGGTATAAAAATTTAATATCACCTTAATATCATGTTTGGTTAGCAAACTAGGTATAAGTTATCTCGGTGTTAATTTTAACACTGGGATAACTTATACCTTATAGAAAATGGGGTGATTAGCACCGGTATAACTTATACCTTCTTCTTAGAAATTATGCAATTGTCATTCTTAATACAACATACCAAACAATGAATAAACAACATCCCAGCATAACTTATCCCAATATAATTTATACCGGCATAATTTATATCGGAATAAATCGTATTCCAACCAACGACCCCTTATAGTGTCGGACTTGACCTTATCACCGTCAAAAGCAACACTAGTACTTAGTAAAAGGTTTTAGAGAAAACAGTAATTAGAAAAAGGAGATCCCAAAAAGGCCTATTGTAATGTCGGAGAAGATTAATTTTGGAAGAACCAAAGAAAATGACAAACTGCAGATCAAATATTTGCTGTATGGTCATGCATGTTTTTTTTTTTTTTTTTTTTTTTTTTTTTTTTGTGCTTTGAACCAACAACTATTTGTTTTCTTTTAGAGGGAAAGGTTAATTAAAGGAAAAATTACTCCCTTTGTCGGTTGGCNTTTTTTTTTTTTTTTTTTTTTTTTTTTTACATATTGTTCGGAATCGTTCTAATTAAATTTATAGGTGATAATTTAATTTAGATAACTTAATTTTTATATTTTAAAGCTTTCCTGTTGCCATGTTTGTTTTCGAGAAAACGATGAGTATTGAAGTAAGTATTTAATTTATTTAGATGTTGAGCATTGACCAGTGTCGGTCCATGAAATAGAATCATGTCTAGTCTACGTCCAAAATATTAAAAAAAATGAGAAAATAATTTTAAATTATGACAAAGAGTACAACAATTCTCTAACTACCCTAAAAGAATATAAGTGTATGTTTCGTTGAACTATGATACAGAAATCCCGTTCTTTATTTGTAGCGCTTACTATTCTTTTTGTTAGTTCTATTTTTAATTCAAACATGGTTGGCGTTTGAATGAAATGACAGAAAGAAAATTTTGTTAAAAAAGAGATCGATGACATTCACATTTCACCATTAGACTATTATCACCTAATTTATAATTTAATAAGACACCAGTAATAGGGCACATAAGTAGCCAAATCATGAGGGTGAACCAAACGACTTTTCAAGTGTGATAATACTATTACTTCATCCTTTTAAATATAGATAGTGGTAACTCTATTCACTAATGTTTGCATACATGGAACAAAATTATTTAATGTATCTTTTATTTCTATTGGAATTTGCATGCTAATTTTCTATGCTTATTACTCACTTAATTGATTATTAAGCAACTACTATTACGTACTATTCAGATCTTGGATTATACTCCAAACACCTTTTCAACAATAATGCCAATACTCGCTCATTGTCCAAATGGCTCTCTCATACACCCATGGCGCCACAACTGCTCTCTTCTTCGCCACCGCCTTTATTTTCACAACATCCTCCTTTTAACTGTGCATGACCGCACTTTCTCCTGCGGCTACATCATTGATATCACCTTTATCCATTTTCCGGCGGTGACCGTCCTGACTACTGCGGCCTCCTGAATTCAAACTACGCTGCGTTGAATATCAAACCGAGTTCACTCACCAATCACTTACCTACAGAGTTCTTTCTATTAATCGGTCTTCAAGAACCATGACAATATATAGGTAGGCTAGACCTGTGGAACAATACTTGTCCTCCTCAATTCACCAATACTACTCTCAACTCTACTTTCTTCAGCTAAGACCATAACGAAGACGAAGAACTCTCCTTTGAGCTTCGGCTGCTACGTTGCGGCATTGGTTTTTACGCCCCAGAATTTGTTCAGCTGTAGTGTAACTGGTTTGAATTTCACCTGCGCCTTCTATTTACTGGGTCCAATTCCAAGTGACCCTTCTCTAAAGTCATAACGCGTGAAACTGTTGTTACTACTCCCTCCATTTCAAATTAGACGAATACTTTCCTTTTTAGTCTGTTCCAAAATTGTAACATAAATAACGCATTTCTAAATTTGAAAATAATTCAACTTTAAACTTTCATTTTACCTATTTTACCATTAATGAGAAGCTTTTATAACCACACAATTGTCATGGTCCTACAAAGCTTTTACCCCTTAAGTTTTTAAGACCACAAGTTTCAAAAGTTTGTTTTTTTCTTAAATGCCGAGTCAAACTACCTCGTCTAAATTGAAAAGGGGAGTATACCGGTATTCAGAGACGGGGGCAAAAGGCCATATAGCAATCAGACTACTCTCGGGGAAGCATTAATGCAGGGGTTTAGTGTGAAATACGATGTCCCCTACGATGGACTGTGTTATGGGTGCACGAGGCTAGATGGAAACTGTGGATTTAATGTGGGGCTGGCCAGCCAACTTGTATTTGTGGAGCAATCCCTTGTCTTGCCTTTAGAACATGAAAGTTCCTCAAAAGGTTTGCTGGGAACTTTATTCTCTGGTTTTACTACTTTCTAATTACGAATATTAATCGTAGAAGTCGATAATTTGGAAATTTGGACGGAGTGAGAACTGCTACACGTATTTATTGTTGAACACATAATTAAGCAAATAAAAGTGTGCTCTCTATAATAGTTTAAGTTTCTAGATGAGATGGTCAAACATTTCAATATTTACTTTCTCACCTTATTTGTCAACAAGATTGTTGAGCTTTCTTCCTATGTTTTTTCTTTTTCTCTGGAAAGCAATGACTTTCAGTCTTATTGTCGATTGTTCTAGTTGATGAATCCTAAGTTCAGTCTGAAACATTGTTTCTTCTAGTTCTACATAATTGCATTGCCAGGTTTAGAGGTAGTCTATCCATGTGTACAGGGGTCTTTCTAATCTCATCCTACTGCAAATATGTATTTGGCATGAGTAGATGCTAGAGGCGTTTGATTCAAGGGATACACCTAACACAAAACTGAACTTGGAACAAAGTGTAAGGCAAAGTTATTTAACTAAATTCTCTTGATTGGTTTTTAGATTTCCATGGTATGTTTGTTTCGGGTATCCCTGGGTATTCTTCTGACAGCGTGCTTATTCCTTATAGTTTGTGCTTTTCAGATCTATTACTTGACCATATACCTCAATTTCATATCACCACAGTTTTCTTAGTTTCTCCTTATTCCAGCCAGGTTTAGTTTATGTACTTCAGCATCTATATATCGCGTTTATCACTTAATTGACAGTATTATGATTGTTTTGCAGATAGTGGAAAGAAAAATCAGACGCCACTTGCAATAGGTACTGTCTTTAGTTCTAATTTTATAGTACAACTGACATGGTCAAATGCCTTGAGAAGATTTTAAACTTTCTTCTTTCGATTGCAGGCCTTAGCGTAGGAGGTGCTGTATTTGCCGGTATTGGCATTGGATGGCTAATCTTCTTCTGCAAACAAAAGAGAAAGCGGACTGCAGCACAGACTTCACCTGTCCAAACTGAAAAGAAAGACCTTCCAATTTTAAGCTCAAGCAATGGCCTGACTACTTCTTCTCCTAATTCTTCAACCACTTTCACCAGAAGCATTCCCTCTTATCCCTCGTCCACATCTGAAGCTGATTATGGGAGGGGAAGCTCCTATTTTGGGGCTCATGTCTTCAGTTTTGCTGAACTTGAAGAAGCCACGGATAATTTTGATCAATCTAAAGAACTCGGGGATGGTGGTTTTGGCGTCGTGTACTATGGTATGTACTGCAAACTCCTAATTACATATTATTATTTGGTAAGAGAGTGTCCTAATAATTCTAAATAATTGTTAATCAGGCAAGCTTCGTGATGGTCGTGTTGTAGCAGTCAAGCGCTTGTATGAGAACAATTTCAAGCGTGTAGAGCAGTTCATGAATGAAGTTGAGATTTTAACTAAGCTCCGCCACCAGCACCTAGTGACATTATACGGTTGCACATCAAAACGAAGCCGAGATTTACTGCTTGTTTATGAGTACATATCAAACGGGACAGTGGCAGATCATCTGCATGGAAATCGGGCCAAATCTGGTTTACTCTCTTGGCCTGTCCGAATGAACATAGCCATTGAGACTGCTGATGCACTGGCTTATCTCCATTCCTCAGTTATAATACACCGTGATGTCAAAACCAACAACATTCTATTAGACAATGATTTCCATGTGAAAGTTGCTGATTTTGGGCTATCAAGATTGTTCCCAAATAATGTCACACATGTCTCTACTGCTCCACAGGGTACACCCGGCTACGTTGATCCTGAGTACTACCAATGTTACCAGCTCACTGAAAAGAGTGATGTTTATAGTTTTGGGGTGGTCTTGATAGAGCTGATCTCATCATTAGAAGCTGTGGACACCAACAGGCACCGCCAAGATATTAATTTGGCTAATATGGCTGTCAACAAGATCCAAACTCATTCAGTACATGAATTAGTTGATCCAAGTCTTGGATTCACGACAAACAGCTCTGTGAGGAGGATGACTACCTTAGTCGCTGAGTTAGCTTTTCGTTGTCTGCAACAGGAGAGAGATATGAGACCTTCAATGCAAGAAGTGCTGGAGACTTTGAGAGGCATCCAGAGTGGGGAGTCGAATGCACACAAGGCGGAGGTACTCGACATTGTGGTAGATGATGTTGGACTCCTCAAGGGCTCGGGCTCCCCTTCCTCACCACATTCCAGTGGATGAACTATCACTTTCAGGTTGGTCGATTTCATTGCCTAGATGAAGAAGCAATTACTATTTTGACACTAGTGATTAGTGTCATGGTTCCGTTAGAATCTCCCGTCTTTTATGGACACTTAATTCCTTAGTTTTGCTTAGATGTAGTTATCTTGGTATACTACGATATGGTCTCTGGGAGATTATCTACTGCTGTTCGCATAAAGAATGTAAATATTGAATAGAGCTGCCAACATTCTAGTATATATGTGCTATAACTTTTATGTACCTCTGTTCTTTGTTCATTTGGGTTGAGGACATGAAAGCCACAAATAGGAAAATGGAGCTATAAAGCCCCTCATCCCCCACCCCACCCTATTTAGTGTATTGGTGAGCATATTTATAAGGTCGAAAAACAATAATATAATGCAGAAAAAAGGTACTGCAGCAGAACAAATTCTAAGCCTATATGTAGCCTGGAGTGCTACATTAATCTTATAGAGGACATGTTTTGATAGTAAATGGTAAAGAAGAAAAGGAATAGAACATTAATTCGTGAGCACACCCTAGTTTGGCCAACCTAGTGCATCAAGCTTTTGCTTTAAGCGGAGTCCTGGGAAGAGCTGGATCACTTTGGGTCTATTGTATAGAGTCTTATTTTGTAAGGCTCCAAGAGACATTTTTTACGACCTGAAACCTCCACCTCCAAGCCTTACTAGATTGCTTAGTTATCTTGTGTCATGTCAGAAGAGTATTTTGACAGAGTTGATGGACATTCAATTGTCCATTTCGTGCCAGTGTATCCTAGAATGCCATTCATCAGTATAAATTGTGAAATTTTCCTGCTGATCATGTAAATTAGGTGAGGTTAATTATACTAATCAGATTAGATCTCATTTGCACACCCTTCAGAGATTAATTCTGCATTTACTCACTCGTTCGTCAGTAATAATTGGAACTACTTCTACAAACAGGTCCAGAAGACAGTTTTCGTTACTTGTAATTTGACTTGCTGAACATAGAATTGAATGTTTCAAGGTTTCCAAGTCTAGTTTTGTTTTATAAGGAAAACTGATAAAGAAAAAGAAAGCAATTTTAACATCTCGAGACGATAAAGCCGCCTTTCTTTAACCAAACAGGAGAGAAGAGAGAAGAACGAAACATAACATCCGCTCACACTGTTTCTATCCTCCCTTCTTATTTTTGTCGCTCTGTCTTTTCATCAAAGTGTTAACGCCAATGTGGTTGAGGTACTTGTAATCCATAAAATATACGAATAGTAAAAAGAGATCTAAGCGTATGTTGTTGTTCAAATGAGTAAAAATAACAGTAAAGCCCGCAATTATTTTTTCAAAGAAGTGGCTTAAAGATGAAGTGATATTACTAATAGGCAAGAATGCTACACGTGGATGTATCTCAAAGGAAAGACTAGCATTCACATTGAACAACAAATATTAAACCATAAGAATTTCTGGTTAAACGACAAAAAGTGATAATGCAACTTACGATTATGGTGACTATAGGCTTAACGCCGAATCATGAGATGGTCATCATCCTGTTGTCTGATCCGTTGGTCACACACTCCTCATAGGCATGCATTTGTAGATAACTTTGAATATTTTAAATATTTCTTGCCCTAGAATTTTGGTAACAACCACCCTATTAATAGCCAAGAAGTCAAAAATTCTAATGAACAAATTTTAAAAAATGTAAAAGTATCACACTTGAAATTTAAAGGTGTATACGGTGGAAATCGGGGCTACCCGATTTCGTCCTTTGATGGAAAAGAGATACCATGTCGAAAGACCAGGATGTCGAGTTCGGGGTCGAAGTTTCTTTCTAAGATCGAGGTCGACATCACTAACCGAGGTCAGAAGAGGGCATACTTCGAGATGATGCCGGTATAGTTCAGTAACGGAAAGAGCGAGATACCTGCAACAGACCGAAGATCATGGCGTGAATTTCGGAATGGATTGGTCCTTGGCGGTTAATCAGTTGTCAAATATGATTTCCTACTATAATTAGAAGCATACCTTATTTAGGATTCCCCTATTATATAAAGGGGGATGCCATTTATTTGTAATCATCATTGTTCACTGAGAAGAATATATACCACTCATTACTTTTTTGCTATTTCGCTTTACTGTTCATCAGAGTTGCTTTATCATCTGCTATTCTTATTGTCACACCTCGAGACTACCACAAGTCGAGGTCAAAATTTGACTAGCATACTGATTTGAATTATTTTATTTTCTAATTTATCTATTTATTTCCTTGTTTATCAATTGGCATTGGATTGAATCACATATCCTTAAAACCACAATATAAGTTTAATTATTACTCGAATTTTAGGGTAAACAGTTTGGCGTCCACTGTGGGGCTAAGGATAATAGTGATTGTTTAATGCTGATTCTGATAGCACACATTATTTCACGCTTGTTCTTGTCAAGTATTTTTTCTTTGACGTTAAAACATGTCGAACTCCTAAAACGCACCCGCACATGGTGATAATGGCCTCAGATTTCACGGGGGGAACGACAATATAATTGCTCCAGGAGTCGAGTACCACCGGTTAATCTCGGGGAAGCACCAGTTGCCGATCCGATCGATGTCAGTTCGCATGTTGCTTTAAATGCGGACCTGGGCGTAGACCCCAAAGGGAGTGTACGCAGGGAAGGCCGATGTGGTGGCTAAGGTACATAAGGCATAAGAGATGTAGGAGTTAGTCTCCAGGTGATATTCGAGATGCTATAGGCTTAGCAGGACGCTATTGCTCAGCTTCAAAATCAACATAGAACTCCGAGTGGGGTTGAGCCGGAAATCACTCGCCGTACCGAGCCAGTGCCAGAGAGATCGAATAGTAATGGATCAGGGATCGATCCTGCAGTAACGAAAATGCTCGAGGAGCTCACCAAGAGAATCGAGTCAGGAGAGAAGAAAATCGAAGCTAATGATAAAAAAGTGGAGACATACAACTCTCGAGTTTATCAGATACCAGGGGCATCGCCAATCTTGAAAGGGATGGATTCGAAGAAGTTTGTACAAAAGTCGTTTCCTCAAAGTGCGACTCCGAAGCCTATTCCAAAGAAGTTTCGTATGCCGGACATACCCAAATATAATGGGACCAACGATCCCAACGAGCATGTTACTTCATATACATGCGCCGTCAAGGGTAACAATTTAGAAGATAATGAGATCGAATCTGTACTGTTGAAAAAGTTCAGAGAGACTCTTTCAAAGGGAGTAATGATTTGGTATCACAACTTGATGTTGATACCCAATTTTTTCCTATAATATTTTTTGAAATGCATATATATCTTTAAAACTATGCATTAGCATCAATGGGTATTTTTCCATAATTTTTAAACCCTTAAAATAATTTATTTCAATATTTTTCTTCATATAAATTATTGTAAAATTGCATCACAAATGAATTTAGAACATGTCTTGATTTAATATTACTATTATGGTCCTATTGAGTCCAAATTATTTTATAAATATCCAAATTGACATCTTTTGGCTATAATTGCAATAACATTGCAAATATAGCCCATATGTACATTTCTTGTATTATTTTACCAGAAATTAGTACTTCGTATTTTTTAATACTAAACAACCATTTTTAAAATATTTATATGCATGAAATTCATTTTCTATAATTAGTAATTATTTTTAATCAATTGTTTGGGGTATTTAATAACTAGCCTCTTTTATTTCAATTTTGTCCTAAAATTAACCAACTCAATACCCCTTATAGACCATCCCAAAAGATCCCAGGCCCAATACCCACTTACCCGACCCAAAACCCTCATCAAATCGTGGTCGTTGATCCTTTAGATCAACGGTCCATATTAAAACTTAACTTTTTAATCAAACGCCCCCCCAAACCCTAACCATTCTCACCAAACAGCCGCCCTAGAATCCCTAATCCTCTCCGTCTTTCTGAGATCCAACTTTAACCCTATCCGCCGCCACCCAAAACCAGCCCTAATCCCTTTGATTCCTATTCGATCTATGGATTCATATGGTTGTACGAGGCCTCTACTTGTCTCCTATTTCACCTGGTTGCTCGATTTTGTGATTTCGTGGAAGGACCTCGAAGAGATCTGGTCCAGATCTCGTTCAAAACTCTTCAAGAGTCTTTCTATGGTCTGTGAGTGCTTTCTATTAAAGTTTTACGGCTCAAATCTTTTATTCAAAGGCTAGATTCTCTTTACCCTTTCGCTTTTCTTCAAGAAACCTAATGGTTGGACTTGAATCGGTTTAGATCTTTGTAGATCTGGAGCGATTCTGAGTTCATCGCTAATTTTCCTTAAGGTTCCCTTATTTCTTTACTGATTAATCGATTTTCGAGCACTTTGTCATATTAGGGTTTGGTTTTCTTGTTGTTTGTTGGTCGAATCTCTGTGCATCTGAAGTGTTTTCAAATTCCCATCGTTGTTCTTCAAGGTTCTTTTACTTCTCTACTACTTACCGATTTTTAGCACTAGTCTACTTTAGATTTTTGACTTCTCGGACTTCTGTTGTTCGAAACCTTGTATGTTTGAAGTGCTTTCAAGTTTCCATGACTGCTTTCTTTAAGGGTTCTTTGACCTCTATACTGGCAATCAACTTTAAGTATTTTCAAATTAGGGTTCTTCCCAAACTTCTCTTCAAGAGTTCTTCTACTTTCAAATGTTTAATCTAGTCATCTCTTGAGGTGTTTGGTTAATTTTCGTATGTATGAACTCTAGATGTTCTGATGGTAACACTGATTTCTTCTATTATGTTTATTTTTGTGAACTAGTCGTATTAACTGACTCTATTTAGGGTTTTGAGTGATTTTTCTATTAAATCCAGTATTCTTTGGGATTTTGTTGCTTAATTGATTTCTATTTTGGGAATTTGAATGATTCTTTCCTAGTTAAAATCAGTATTTTCCAGAATTTTTACTTATTTTCTTATTGTGACTAATTACACTTGCCTTAATTAGTTATCAGTAATTTGGGAATTTGATGGACTCCTTATATGGTGTGGTGTTGATTTATTACCTTACTTGGGTCCCAGTTCTGACCGTTAATTGATTGCCCCCAACTAAGGGGTCTATTCCAGGCTCCTCTATGGGAATTGATTCTGTGACTGATTAATTGCTCCTAATTGATTGAACTGTGATTCTTTTACCTTATTTTGATTCACCCCTTAAGTGCTATATAAGCACTCTCATTCTGTTCCTTCAAGGACACGAACATTAGTTCACCATTACTCTTACACTCTAAAAAACTCTCTCTCTATTCTTCTGTGTTACTTGTGATATTCATTGGCCTGG